CTTGGCCAATATCCAGCCACCTTGACCTCACACTTGGTCAATAACCCATATGTATAATTTTATTAAAATCTGGATCACTGGATGTAATTTAAGACTTTTCATTGGCTTAGCCATCATGGGTTATGAGCCATTATACCATGCTCAACAAATACGGTGAGCGTACGCGTAAGTTTTTTGGGCGTTTTTATTTTTATTTTAGTTTAGTTTTCTATCTTTTAAGCGTGTTTTTAATGAAACAATTATTCCACTCGCGCTTGTTGGGTATGAGATGATTATAGCTAACGTGCGCTCGTGGAATAATTGTTAAAAATAATTGTTAAAAATCATTCATTCTTGGGCCAAGAGCTATTCTCTTTTGCACATAACTAACCGTGAGTAACTTAGCTTTTGTTCTTGGGGAGAAAACCACCGAAGGCTTTAGGCACTAATATATACAGTTTTACTATTTTTTTTTTTTTTCACTGAGCAAATCTGATTGAAACTTCTTCTTCCCTTTTTTAACAGCCATGATGAAAGTCGACCCCGCAAGTTATTTTTCTCACCCCTGTGCCACCCACGGAAACATTTCGAACTTGTGAAAGTGAAGATCTTAGAACTGAACGTTTCTCATACATCATGTCCCGCTTACGAAGGAAAATGCTGGGTTTACTTTAGTTTGTCAGGCTGATTGGGCGGGGATTTTGAAACACCCCAAGGATTTCAGTTTCTGTCGTCCTTTTTGCGGGATGCGAAAGACCCTGGTTAATTATTGTCTGCACCGGCGAGGTTTTCATCGCATCCTCGGAAAACAACCATGTTTAACCACACCTTTGACAAACACTTTCACCAATTTCGGCGTTGAAAAAAACTCGTTTTCGGATGCTTCACCGTCCCTGTCCCTCTCAACTCCAGTGATCCTGGATTACCACCGCCTGGTTAGCTCAGTTGGTAGAACGCCAGATTACTGTGTGGGAGGTCAAGGGTTCGAGCCCTGGACTGAACCAACACCCAGGACCTAAAAATAACTGAGGAGAATGTGCTGTCTTTGTAATTACATCTACAAATGGTAAGACGTTCAAGTCTTCTCGGATAAAGACTTTAAACCGTAGGCCCCGTCTCCTTTATCTTCAGTGTTACATGGTTAGCAGGGGACGTTAAAGAACCCGCACACTTAGCGAAAAGACTAGGGCAAGTAGTTCTCGGCGTTGTGGTCTGCCCTTGTCATACGGATTAATGCTTCACATAGGGTTAACCTCATTGCACCTTTACCCCAACTGACCGAGAAAAATTGCTATGCTATGCTATGCTATGCTATGCTATAGCGTAGCGTACGCTATGCTGTGCCATGCTATGCCATGCTATGCCATGCCATACCATGCCATGCCATGCCATGCCATGCCATGCCATGCCATGCCATGCCATGCCATGCCATGCCATGCCATGCTATGCTATGCTATGCTGGGTACAAGAGCGAGCGCGAACAACTTGAAGAGTCGCGAATCGTATCATGTTAACTCACCAAGTAGACCGGCTGCAGACTTGCGAACTTTTTCTTCTGGTTCTGCATAGACCGAGTTATCACAAACAGGATTCTTGAGAAGCCCAGGCATCGGAAAGTGATTCTACCCAGCAAAGCAAAACATAATTCAGTGTTAGCAAACTGCTGGAAAGACGAAAAATTAACCTTCAAACGATACTCGTGACCATTTCAGAAGGTAAACAGCTTCTACGTACCCTGTAAGTGGTTTAGAAAGCCTGCATTCAGTTCATAATGCTGCAATGAGCTTTTGCGGTAACTTTTCCTTTGTCACATTAATCGACTACTAAAATAAGTCCTTGAAAATTTACTGTATTGATCATGATTACAAGTGGCGGAATTTTGGGCGGTTTTCAATTGAGTGTCGCAACACCAAAACAAAACTCTTTACTTACTAATTTTACTACTCAGCGAATCTCAAAACGTAGTTAAACCAAAACGAAAACAATTTCAACGTTCAATCGAAAACCGCTCTAACACCAAAAAATGCTTAGGCAAATGTATTTTTCTCAAGTCCTCTCATAAAAAAAACACCCACACAGATTATGAATCCTAATATTAGCATTAATATTACTATTGTTGTACTGACTGCAGCCAGAATGTGGAATCTCCTCAATCCGTAAACAACTTTAGGAATCCAGTAAAAACGACGTAAAATCAGTCTCAATCTGGAGCTCTTTGTTCTCAATTAAACTACGCCAGAGAAATTGAAAACGGCGTTTTCACTCTGAAAACGCATCAAATGTCTTCCGTCCACACTACGCCGGAGAAACTTGAAAACACAACAATAACCGGTCATTTTCACGATTATCAACACGTTATCATTTTCGAAAAGCTCCTTTCTTAAAATGTCTGCCGTCCACACTAAAACGCAAAGCCGGCGTTTTCAAATTCCTCCGGTTTGAAGAGCGTTTTCGAAAAGCTCCGTTTTCGTGTCGGATTAGTGTGGACGGTAGCCAGGCCTAACCGTAGAAATAAAGCTCCGTTTTTAAATTTCTCCGGTATAGTGGGTACGGGGCCTAAGCTTATACAAAATAGATGCACACTGCATTCACCTGCGAATTAGTAGTTGTTGGGTTTGCAGTCACTAAAAAGAAAGTGAAAGAATCAGACCACAATTAATAAAATTAGGATAAAAATCCTAGATCTTTGTAGATGCAGTGAAGTATGTGGAGAAAATGTAGAGTCAAACCTCTTCACAACAGCCGTCTTAGAGACCGAGGAAAGTGGCCTTTGTAGAGAGGTGGCTGTTTTGGAAAGGTAGGGGTAAAATATGACACCTGTTTTTATATGGAAGGAGGGGGGGGGGGGCAACGCAACCTTTTATAATCAAAAATGGGGTTTTGTATACACCGTACGTCAGTAGTTGATTAACTGGCCGTTGTTGAGGTCATTTTGGCAACTGTGACGCGTTTTAATGGCTGTTAAAGTGCCTATAACGTACAAAATAATTGATGCTTATTTGAAGGGCTTTTCAAAGTAAATAAGAATGGTGTTTTCCATTTTGGAATATCTTTTTTCGTTTTAGAGATATTCACGTTTTTGTATGACACCAATGACACCCGTCGTCCCACTGCCATGACAACAGTTATGCCGCTAGTTCTGTTTTAATTAAGACTAAAATTCCCAGATTTTATCTTAAACAAGGATCATCCACTCCCAACAATCTAATGGCGAGAGTTAAGACAATATGGGAACCATGCGTATTCTGAGCAAGACCCTCTGTCCCTTTTCAAAGGGTTGCAAATTGGCATATTTGGTTTTTCACAGAAAGAG